GGCGGTGACAACACATGCAGCAGGAACTTCAAGGAGGCTTTCCTAACTCATAGTTTTCTCTGCTTCCCTCAGTAGAGTCATTGTGATACAAAAGTTTGTGCTTGAAGTTAAAGGAGACCAAACCACATTCTCCAAGACAAAATGATGCTAGCCTCACCGCTGGCGGTATTTGAATTTCTCAGCTTTAGCCAGGTCACAGCAGATAATTACTGTTACAGTATACAGATGTGATAATATATATTCCTTTCGTGCATTTCTTCATGCCTTGTAAACTGCATGCTATTACAGATGTTAAAAAGGCAGAGCCTGGGCATTTATTCTCTCAGAGGGAACATAGAGTTAATTAATAGAAATGTCCCAGCTGGAGTATTTTGTCTTAGGAAACCACAGCCAGCAAACTGCTATTAGCAAGAGGAGATCTTGCTGGGTGGGATGAATTTGTTCTCCTAGACACTCACCACCCACTCCCTTGGTACCCACAAATACCCCACATGTGAAAAGTGCTGGATGTTTTCACACCTTGAGTTTCCTTGAACTACCAAGACAGGCATTTAAACTACAGGGAGACAATTGTGCGGCACAGTAATCTGAAAGTAAAATGAAATCTCAGGAAGTCTGGCTGAAATCTTGGAGTGGCAGGGAAGGACGCAACCCGGCAAGGTGAGTTGTTTCTTCCACATCCTGAGGAAGAGCAGCAGAAGAGCATCTGGGACTCGATGACTCTGCGGGGCTCTTGCTCTCTACTTGCTCTTCTGCTAAGGATGCCAGTTCTGGTTTTCCATCATGTTCCAACACTTCTACACTACTGGAGTGAGGGTATCTACAGATATATATTTTTAAAAGGAAGAGGAGAATCAAGCACTTTATTTTTTGTGGAAAACAAAATAGAAGGAAGAGAGATCAAACCATGATCCTATTTTTCCTGACCTAAATAGTAAGTGCTCGTTATTTTGGTATGAAAGTCTTGCTGAAAAGGTGGCACAAGTCCCTGTCTGGCTCTCAGAGCCACCTCTGGGCACAGCACAAATTAAATGTCCTACTGCGTCTGACATGTTATGGGCTGTTGGAGTCTTCTCAGAAACCAGCACGAGCAAGGAGTTACTTGTGAACTGTACCCTCACGGCCCAGTCTGTTACCTAGACAAAACAGGATATAGTAAGGTGAATTTAAATGCCTGTTTTCATTTGTTTAGGTCTGGAGTGAGTCATGAGATATTCTACCTAAACATGAATATCACTTTGCATTCTTTTGCTGTACTTTTGCCATAATAATTCTCTGAAACCATGCAAAACACAGTTGCATGTACTTGAAAGAACAGGTACATAAAATCTATTTGTTGCCCTCAGATTTGCTGGCAAGAACGTAAAATAGCTTCAGGTTCTGAGGGATTAAATGGTTGAGCAAAGTGTCCAAAGAGCGTGAACAAAATGTAAAGTGTTTTTGACTGTAGAGTGTATGCACATGTTTTGCCTTGTTGCTCAAGTAGTATGAGATATCAGCTAGAAAGAATCTTAAGGTCTTCATTTCTGAGATTTAGTGTTATTGCCCTTTTATTATCTAAAGGATGCAAATAGTCTTTAGCTTCATTTCTCTAGCCCTCCTTGACTGTGTATGAGAAACAGGTCCAGGCTTAGGTCTTTAAAGAACTCCATGAAAATGGAATTTTTCCCTCCTATTCCTTTTTAGAATGTCATAATTGTTATTGGAAATAGGGAGCAAATTTGTAACAGTAGGGCTTAATGGTAACAGGTATCCACAGGGTTGGGCATATTCTCCACACTTGCAGACTTTCTGCCAAGCTCAGGTGTCTTCCTTGCAGATAAGCACTAATCCTACAGTTTCCAGCCTTTTACAATCTGCAGACCCCTAATTTTTTTTCCTAGGGAAATGTGGACCCCTGTCTGGATACTTTAAGTCCACTGACTATGGGCTTGCTTTTTTACCTGCATTTTCCTGCTTACTCCGAAGTAGTCTGCAAACTCCCCAGGATGTACCAGCTGCCACTCGGAACGTCTGCTTCAAAGACAAGTTGTTGGCTCAATACAGGAGTCACAGGGGGAAGAAAGGATGGCCTGTGTCGTGAATGAAGTCAGACTAGGTGATTTTGATGTTCCCTCCGGCTTTGACATTGTACAATGTGAGTATTGGCAGTGCACATGCCTTTCATGGATGGTGATGCTACACTTGACTTTTAATGATGTCATAGGAAGGGGAAGCAAACTAGTTCAAGCTCAGCACTTCAGTGGTTTTCCTTTTAAACTCTGACAGCACTTATTAGCATTGAACAACATGTTAGTCCTTTTTCTCCTGCATTACTCCAGTCCAGTAGGTTCATGTGTGTTTGAGAACAAAAGAAAAAAGAATTGAAGGTGTAAAAAAACCAAGAAAATATTCTTGAAAACTCTTTGTCAAATGTACCATATTTGTATGAAAAGCTGCTTGAGTTATTTTGTACAATGAATTTTATTTATGGTGAGGTATATTTCCGCTCGTGATCTGATACGGTGTTAAATTTTGGATCCATATTTGCTATGCAGCTGAAGATGATATTTTGGTTTTTGTATTATTATTTTTTGCTGTTGTTCTAAAATTCAGCTAACAGAAGCTTCCATCTCCATTAGAAATGCTTCTGCAAGAGTAAAGCATCTGGTACATGGTGATATGTCCCGTAACACAGCAATCAACAGTGTGTACAACAAATGTGGGATGACTTTTGTGATGAAGAGAAATAAAAATTGGGCTCATTCATTAAATGGGCAGACTTTACCTTATGGTGTCATCATTGTTGCGGTAACTATGGCCTGGGGAGAGCTTCTGGGTGCACCTGGCACAATGGAAAAGCTAAAAGGAATAACGGCAGAATTTTGTTGATAAAAACTTTGAGCTTTTTTAAAAAAACAGAAAAAGAATGTAGCTTTGTAGCCAACACCAAAGCAAACAAACTTTCCTATCAAAAAATTAATTATTTTTGAGAAAAACATCCTTCCACAACAAATTTTCTTTTGAAAACCTGTTTTAGTATGAGAGGGCTGAGGGAAGGAAAACTGTATAATTATTTTTAATAGAATTTGACAGGTCCTTCTCAAAACAAAGCTGAACTGAGGAGCTAATTTCCTCTCATTACCACAGCCTTGACAACAGGGTCCTTTTTATTCCACTAGACTCTCCTTGCTATTTTTTTTCCAAAACTTCCATTTGAAACCATTCTGAAGTTTGTGTTAAAAGCATCTGAGGAGCAGCCGTGGTTGGTGACTGCAGAAGCAGAGGGAACTGAGGGAAAAATACCTCCTGGGAGCTGAGGAATTAGGGTGAAACAACAGACGTGGATCTACGGGAGTGGGAGCGCCTATGCTTCATCAGCTCTAGATAAAATACTGTAACTGATATTCCCTTTCATAGCTTCTTCCCAAGGTTTCCTCATGGGAACAGCTTCCTAGCTTAAAAGCAATAAAAATGTGATGATTCTTCACATAAAATTGGAAGTGAACTTTACACCATGACCAGGCAGCTCCATTGATCTTTCCAACACGCTTTAAGTTGCGGGATGCACGATGTGCCTGCAGCTTGCGTGTAACGCTGCTGTGGAGGACTGTTTGCCCGATGGTTGGAAGTTGCTCAATGTTTACTGATTTCAACATGGTTCTGCAATGGGGAATGGAGAGAGGACAGCGAGGCTGACTTCCCGGCTCAGCCACTGATAGTAGGCAGGCTGTTTGAGTTTCATCCTTCCCTCCACCAAGATTTCTCTTTTTTTCGCCTTTTTTTTTTAACTAATATTAGC